CATTTTCACAACATTGAGTCTTCCTATCCATGAGCAAGGGATATTCTTCCACTTTTCAAGATCTCTTTTTGTTTCTTGTAGTAATGTTTTGTAATTTTCTATGAATAGGTCCTTTGCACTTCTGGTTAAATTTATTCCCAAGTATTTAATCTTGTGATTAGCTATTGTGAAAGGTATTGTTTCTCTTTGAAATGTTGTTTTGATAGATTGTACCAAATTACAGTGACTGCCAGTGGTGTGTGAGAATGTGCCATCATAGAAATTGCTATTCTTTTCCATTTTTTATGTTGATCATTTTGATAATTAAAAAATACTGTCTTAATGTAGCAGCATTGCACATTTTAAAATGGTTTTTTGCCACATAAGTGTCCATAGTGATTGCTTCGTGTATTCTTTATCTATTCTTTTGTGGAGTGTTTATACTATTCCTTATTTTCAAAGCTTTTTTGTTTATATACTAGTTTTTGTGTGACATTCCTCAACCTGAAGGAACTGAAGAACAATTTCAGGCCTCAGCTTGGCAATAATGAAAGATGCTATGGGCAAAATCTAGAAAGATCCAGGAAGCATCAAAAGAAGATGGAAGATCTGCAGACTGGGGTGACCAGTTTCCTGAACTGGAGCAGCCTCTATCCAGGGGGATAGCAGGAAGCTCCTGCCCTAGCACTTCAGTAGGTTGGCTCTGGGAGTGAGTCTTTCCTCTGATTGCAGCCATGGTTAACAGACACATGAAGAAATGCTCAAAATCACTGGCAAAAAGAGAGATGCAGATCAAAACTACAGTGAGATACAATCTCACCCCGGTAGCAGTGGCAAAGCTTAACAGAACTGTAAGTAACAATGTTGGAGAAGATAAGGAGAGATTGGAACTCTAATACATTGTTGCTAGAATTGTAAAAAGGTACAACCACTCTGGAAGGCAGTTTGGTGGTTCCTCAAAAAGCTGAACATAGAAATTCCATGTGTTGTAGCTGTTCCATTGATAGGAATATTCCCTGAGGAAAAATAACACTGAGACACAAATGGATATTTTTTACACTGGTGTTCATAGCAGCATTACTCACAAAAGCAAGAACATGGAAGCAGCCTAAATGCCCATCAACAAATGAAACGATTGAGAAGTTGTGGTACCTTCACATGGTGAAATAATACACGATACTCAAGAGTAACAATTATGAAAAATGCTCTGTAACATGGGAGAGGCTGGAGCTATTATACTGAGTGAATTAACTCAGTCTCATAAGGAAAAATAGCATAAAACCATTATTGTAAAAAGAGTAAGATATGTGTAAAAAGTCCAATGGGTGTCAGGGGGAGGAGGATGGGTGAGGGGATATCTCAAGGTCGCACAGTTTATTGGGTAGAGGGAAGGCATGAAGGAATTAGGAAAGATCCAGTAGGGACCAGAAAAGACAGGGTGATGTTGGGCATAGATCAGTGTTGATTGGAATTATAATATGCAATATATGGAAATTGTATGAGAAACAATGTGAATGAAGGAATGTGTGGAACACAACGTATGTGAATTTTGTATGCAAACTAATATTAAAATATATATACAGGTATAGATAAATAGAGAGATGAAATGCACAGAGTAACTGTACCAAAAAGAATTGGCTGACACAGAACCATTTCAAGAAGTATCATATTATCAAGAACCAATGGTAATAATGGAATGAGTTCAAGTTGCTTTAAAAAGGAATTGACCAAAAAAAAAAAAAAAGGCCCCAGGAATTAATAGAATACCAAGTGACATGTTTCGACAAACAAATGCAGCCCTGCGTGTGCTCACCAGACTGTGCCAAGAAATATCGAGGACAGCTGCCTGGCTAACTACCTGGAATAGATTCATACTTATCTCCATTCTTAGAAAAGGGCAATTAGTAGAATGTGGAAATTAGCAAACAATATCATTAATAATCACTGAAGCAAACTCTTGCCGAAGATTCTAAAAAAAAAAATCACTAGAACTATACATTGTCAGAGAATTGCCAGAGATACAATGGGTTTAGAAGAGGCAGTAGCACTAGGGAAAACATGCAATGTCAGATGGATCTTTGCTGAAAGCAGAGAGTACCAGAGGATGTCTGTTTATGTTTTATCAACTTTGCAAAGGCATTTGACTGTGTGGAGCACAACAAATTGTGGCTAACATTGAGAAAAAGGGGAATCATAGAACACTCATTTATGCTCCTGCAAAACCTATGCTTAGACCAAGAAGATGTTGTACAAAAAGAGCAAAGGACATTGCGTGCTTCAAAATTAAGAAAGGAGTGTGTTAGAGATGTACCCTCTCTCCATACCTTTTCAATCTATATGCTTAATAGACCAGTTCAGAGGCTGGACTTTATGAAAAAGAATATAATGTCAGGATTGGAGGAACACTCATCAACAGCCTGCATTTTATAGGTGATACAGCCTTACTTGCTGAAACTGAGGAAGACTTGAAGTACTGGTTACAGGAGATCAAAGACTGCAGTCTTTAATACAGATTTCATCTCAATAGGAAGAAAACAAAAATCCTCACCACTGGACCAAAAGGCAGCATCATGATAGATGGAGAAAAGTTTGAGGTTCTTAATTTCATCTTGATCCACAATCAACACCCTTGGCAGTCAGGAAATGAAAAGATGAGTTGTACTGGAAAAATCTGTTATCAAGGACCACTCCAGATGCTAAGAGCAACAATATCAGCATAAAGATCAAGGTGCACCCAGTTCAAGCTGTTGGTCTTCTCAGTTGCTTGCTATACATGAGAGCTGGACAATGACTATGGGTGACAGAAGAAGAGTTGATGCCTTTGAGTTATGGTGCTGAAGAAGAATATTGAACATGGATTGGCAAGAAAACAAACAGGTCTGTCCTGGAGAGGGTGAAACCAGGTTACTCCTCAGAGAAAAAGATTTTGAAACTCCTTTTTAATTACTTTGGCCATGTTGTCAGGAGGGGTAGTCCTTGGGGAAGGACATCATATTTGGAAGGGTAGGTCAGTGCATTAGAGGAAGCCCCTGGATAAGATGAATTGACATAGTGATTGTGGTAATGATGTAAGGTATGTTAGAGATTAATTTAGCTCAGGATAGGACAAGATTGAGAACCATTGTTCATGGGGTCTCTTTGAGTCCTAGTCATCTCCACTGCACATAACAAAAACATGCATCGTTTATTTCCCTAACTTGTTTATAAAATTTTTTAAAACTTAGTTTAAGGGGCCCTTTGTCCTATTGAAGGAACCCTAGTGATATAGTGTGTAATGTCAGTAGTTTGAATCCATCAGTTGCTGTTCAACTGAAAGATGAACAATCTTTTGTAATGATGTACAGCTTTGGAAATTGATGGAGAGTGTGGGAGCTGACTTCATGGCAGTGGATTGCCCTGTTGCCATTTAAATTGTGTAGCCAGATCTGTTGCCGTCTCCTCTGTGAAGCTTGCCCTCAGTGCTAGCCTTTGGCAAAGTCCCCCTTCCCTAAGTGCTCTTGTTGAGAGACATCTCATCTGTGTTCATTCGGTCGGTCGATGAAGCAGGGTTCAGCCTTTACGGAGTTACCACAGTTGTTTTCTAATTACCGTGTCTGCTGCTGAGATAGGTCTTTATGTGGTGGTTGCTAGGAAATAAGTATGTGGCTTCATCCAAACAAAATGCAGGTCACCAGTTACAGTGGCCCCACAGGTCTCAGAGAAGTGCTCCATGGAGTTTCCTCAGGCTGATTTTTGCAAGTAGATTGCCAGGCCTTTCTTCTCAAAGTGCCAGCGAATAGAATTGAAACTTCAGCCTTTTGGTTAGCATTCAAGCACACCACTTGATCAGTATGTCTGAAAAGAATAGTTAGGAAAGAAATGCCAGAGGCAGTTTATATTGTTAAGAGATTGATCTTTGTTTACCACTTTAAAGTTTGTTTTTTGAAAATGTAATAGTTGTTACTGGCTGTTTTTCTTTCACTCACCCACACATTCACTGTCCTTGAGTTGGAACTGCCTTGAGTCACTCATAACTGACCATCTTTGTACCATGGAACATCTTGTCGCTTCGAACCACAACAGAGGCACTACATTTGAATTAGTAGCCCAATGTGAATTTTGTTCAATTATCATGTTTTCAGTTTCCAGTATTAAGTATGGTAAATATATGTCTACAAATGATAGCACGCACTTAAAACTTAAACTCTGGGATGACATGATTTGATAAAGTATATAGTTTTATATAGTATAGACTTAATTGCATGCCTCTTTCTGTATTGAGGATTTATTGAATGATTGCATACAGAATGAAATGTGCTTACTTGTTATTAGGTTTGCAAAATTTCTCAGTGTATAATACTAAACCTACTATTGAAGGGTGCTGCACACACACAAACATGTTTTTATGGGTGATTGAAAGGATTATATCAGATAATTTTGATTATACACAATTTGAATTTATTTGGTTGCATGCTGACCTGAACAAGATAAATTTCCATTCTCTGTTGTAGTTTCTGACATAGGGCTCTTAATTGGCTGAAAGAGCACTTGTACCACTCAACTTGATTTTTACTACAATCCTGAAAAGGATTCATAGGAAATGTATTAATTGTTGTATCCAGTTTTTATTGAATTCCAGAGACATTGACATGTAGTTTATAATTTATAGAAGGAAAAGAGAAGTCTTCTGATTCTTTCTAGTTCCAAGCACTCACTTGCACAAGTATTCTATTTTCCAGTAAGCACTAGAAAACAAGACCCCTTAGAGTTTTTGACTATCTATATATCTATCTTATTATGCATAGTCAAGAGTTACAGCATGTGTAATCATGTACAACCCTCTGTAATCACAACCCTCTTAAAAGTCTCTGCCCCAAATGGGAAAATAAAACTGTGAAATAATTTTCTACTTCAAGCCATCCATTTCTACTAACAGTTACCATCAGCATTAATCAGCTGTATTTAGTGACAACGTATTATCTGTTTAAAAATTTTAAAAAATCTTGAAATTTTCATCTCTAGATAGCAAAGTTCAGCTGCAAATTAGAATGTAGCCCTTCCACATAACAATATTTACAAAAGATGCACATCTTTAAATAGTATGCATTTATAACAGGTATATTTTCTGTAATTGAAATCTGTGAGTCACATTTCAATTAAATTAATAAATTTATGGACAAGAAATAATATTTCACTGAAATGCCATTAAAATGAAAACATTAACATTAATTTTATCTTTTTTTAGTGTGCTAAAACATTTATAAACTTGATGACTCATATCTCCAAAGAACAGACAGTTCAGTACATTCTAACCATGGTTGATGACATGCTGCAGGTAGGTGGATTTTTCTTTTTTTTTTTAATTGATTTTTATATAATAATAACTTTAGTATGTTTCATTCATATACATTGTTTTAGAAAATCTTTCCTTCACATTGTCTTTCATACAATCATTCATATACATTCTATTTTATATTATTGTTTTTTTTTTTTAACCATCACACACCTGTCTTTATTGTGGGGCAGAAGGTGGGACACTTCCAGCACTAGTTAATAAAAAAAATGTCAAAAATACTAATTTACAAAAGCAGGGATTCAGTGAAGCTGTCAGATGCATACCCTCAGCAGTCATACATAGATGCCGACCCAGAGCAGCAGGAAGAGGACCCTGAAGCCCATGAAGAGTGAGGCCACCAAGGAGATAAGCAGCTCTTTGTAGATGTCCCATGTGTACTTGGTAGAGGTTACCTCGTAAACAAAGAACCAGGTGGTGAAGAACATGCCAATGGCCAACAGCACCACGGTCAGATGGGGAAAGACACCTGGGTTCACCAGGCTGGTGTATCTGCTCATGGCCTCGGGCTCCATTTTGCCGGGTTCTGAGCAAGCTGCTCCTTTGCCACCGGCTATATTTTTTTTTTTATACTAGTTTATTTACAACATTTGAATACATTGTTTTGCACACCAAATCCATCCCATTTCTCTTACCCCCTACCCATCAAACTCTGTGACTCCATGATTAATGTCCCTTGCCTCACACATCATCACCCCTTATTACCCTTAGATCGTCATACTAATTCTACAGTAATGGTTTTATACAGTATTTGTCCTTGTAGGAATGACCAAGTTCACTCAGCATAATGCTCTACAGTCCCTCCTAAGTTAGGTAATAATTTACAAAATCATTGCTCCTGTGTGCTGTGTAGTATTCCATTGTGTGAATGTTGGACATATGAGCTGTTTCCATGTTCTTGCTATGGTGAATAATGCTTCTGTGAACATTGGTGTACAAGTCTCCGTTTGTGCCTCAGTTCTCATTTTCTCGGGGTCTATTCCAAGCCATGCAATAGCTGGGTCCTATGGAATTTCTGTGTTCAGCTTTTTGAATAAGCGCCAAATGGCCTTTCACAATGATTGTACCATTGTACGGAATCCTACCAGCAATGTGTAAGAGTTCCTATCTCTTCACATCCTCTCCAACATTTATTACTTGCTGTCCTGTAAAACTTTACCACTGTTACTTGGGTGAGATGGTACCTCATTGTGGTTTTGATTTGCATCTCTCTTTTTGCTAGTGATTTTGAGCATTTCTTTATGTGTCTGTTTGCCATTTGTATATCTTCCTCTGTGAAAATTCTTTGTATGTCTTTTGCCCATTTTGTAATTGGGTTATCAGTTTTTTTCTTGTGCAAGCTCAGTAGCATTCTGTAATCTTGTGTTATGAGGCTCTTGTCTGTAGGGACATGTTAGGAAGACTTCACATACCAAAACCAAAAAACCCCCCTATTGCTTTTAAGGCAGCTCTGGTGGCCTAGTGGCAAGAAGCTGCACTGCAATCCTGAAGGCATGTGGTTCTAATCAACCAGATGCTCCACTGGAGAAGGAGGGGCAATCCAACTTGATGGTACACAACAAGAAAAAGAAAAATAGAAACCAAAACCCTATTGCACTTGAGTCAATACTAACTCATAGTGACCCTTAGGATGGAGTAAAATGGCCCCCTAGAGTTTCCAGAACTGTACGCTTTATGGAAGCCAGCTGTGTTCAATCTCCTGCAGAGCTGCTGGTGGTTTAACAGTTGACTTTTCAGTTAGTAGCTGCGTGTTTAATTTACAGCATTGAGGTGTTTTCCCCTCTAGAATGTAGTGAGGACCACTGATGTCAGTTTGAAGACTAAAATGTGTCTGATTCAGATTATAGTCTTTTCTGTTATCACCTGTGTGTCTCAGAGCTGGAAGACTCAATGCCTTTGAGTTGTGATATTAGAGATGAGCATATTCCCTGGACTGTCAAGAGAACAAACAGTTATGTTTTGGATAAGTATAGCCAGAGTACTCTTTGTAGGAATGAATGGCAAAGTGTCATCTTTCTTATTTTGTTCACGTTACCAGAAGATCTTCCTTGGAAAGAGACGTTGTGCTAGGGAAGGTGGAGGGTCAGCCAAGGAGAGGGAGACCCTCAATGAGATGGATTGATATGGTAACAGCAGCACTGGGCTCAAGTGTGAGATGATGATAGGATAGGCAAGGGTTCAGATCTCTTGTTCATACGGTCGCTATTGAGTTCTCTTTGACTCAGTGGCACTTAACAACAATGACAGATGTAATAGTAGATTTTTTTTCTTGATTTCGAGCATTTTCATATTGTAACAGTGCTAAAGGTGGAATGCTCATATACAAGCATGCCTCCTTTTATGGTTCTTGGTTTTATTCTGTTTCTTTTGCAAATTGAAGATGTGTGACAGCCTTGTGTTGAGCCAGTTTTCCAGTAGCATGTGCTTACTTTTTGTCACATTTTGATAATTCTTGCCATATGTCAAACTTTTGAAAATGTACAATTAACAGACATTAGTAGAAGGTAAACATAACTTGGATGTGTACTGTGAAGGAAAAAATAATTCACCTTAATGTGAAAATTTGCATTGTTCTAGTAATTTGGAACTGTGGTGGTAATGTCTCTGAAGTATGTCTGTAGAGGTTATTTTGTGCTGTTTTTCTAGATGTCAAGTAATTAACATTTTCTCCGCAAGTCTCAGAGTTTTCTTTTGAGCATTAAGCACTATTTGATGAGTCACACGAGGCTTTCTGTGTATGTAGATGATGGGAGTCCTGTTTCAGTCAGTCAGCAGATTTTAGTGCCCATTTGTCCAAATCTTGAGTTCAGTCTGAATGTAGTTCAAAAGTTGAATGCCTTCAAAACATTCTCTCTCTTTTTTTAACCAGTATTTAATTATTTGGATCATCATATTTAAATAGTCTACCAGAAGCATTGTCTCTTTTGACAATGACTCTGATTATCATCTGAAACTTTTCCGGTTTTATAGAGTTTGTGCTTACTGATTTACTGCCTCTCAGTGCTGAGTCCCCCTTTATCTGCAGTTTTGTTTTTTTCCCAGAATGTAATTGAATCTCAGGATTTCTATATGTAGATCAGTTCCTGATGAGGCAGTGTCTTTGGCAGCCGAACCTGCTTCCTGTCTGCTTGTCTCAAGCGATTTGAATTATTAATCTAGGTGCTTGGGGATTTTGGAAACATTCACTGATGATCATCTGCCTAGTGTTATTGTAACAGCAGTCCCATAGTTGAGTGGCCTTAATCAACAGAGATTCAGCTTCTCAGAGTTTAGTAGACTGGAAGTCCAGATTTGAGGTGCCCATTGTATGGGAAATCTGTCTTTCTGTCCTTTTGGGGGAAAATTCTTGGAGTTTGATGGTGATTTTGCAAGCTACTGGCTTGCTTTCATTCTTGCTTGCTTCTCTGTGGCTAATCTGTTGGTGATTTTTTTTTACCTCAAAAATTATTGTATACCGTTGAGTCAGAACCGATACATTGCTGACCATTTGTGGTTTTTCCACAGGCAGTAAATTGCATAGAAGAGATTGCCCAGCTTTCTCCTGCAGAGTAGCTGGTGGATCCAAACTACATTCCTTTGGATTGGCAGCTCAATTCCTTGCCATTAAGTTACCAGAGCTTTCAAAAATAGATAGGTTTAAGACATAGGTTGTTATGACCTCATTAACATAACAAAAGGGGAGTTCTGGTCACCTAGTCCATAGGACGTTGTGCTTTTCAACCACATGTGCTTTTTAACAGTTCGAACCCACCAGTGGCTCTGTTTGGGAAAAGATGGATACTCTCTTCCTGCATGATTTACAGCCTCCTGGAAACCTGTGGAGCGGCAACAGTGAGTTGCTTCCAACTCAGTGGCAAGGAATTTGAGGATTTTTGGAATGATTATATAGTGTGGGTGAAGGTTCAGTATTAAGCATAGACTGATGCAGACTTGTTGAGGATGACCTTGGTCCCACTAAGCACCATTTCATTTAAAACAGTAGAATTAAGATAATTGAACAGTATCAGACCTTGGGTAAGGGGCCTTGGTGGCACAAATCATTAAGCACTTGAAAGGTTGATCTTCATACTGGCTCAGTGGCTCTGCAGGAGAAAGACCTGTGATCTACTTCCATATGAACTACAACCAATAAAACTTTGTGGAAGCAGTTAGAGTCTGACACATGGGATCTCTATGAGTCAAGAAATTCAGTGATAGCTAACAACAGCAGTGCATTGGTATTGTATGGGACTGTAACCATGTCAGCATGATTTGGCATGAAGAACTTGGCTTTAGTTATTTATATGTGTGTGTGTATACATATACATATATATATATGTATACACACACACACACACACACATCTATCTCCTCTGTTTTTGTACGCATGGGTAAAATGAGCAAAGGCCACATGGGGATGGCCATATCTCAGCTTTATCAACTTCATAAAGGGGAATTGTCCCCATCAACTGCATCAACAACACAGAATCAATTCCTGTGAGATCAGATGTGTCCCCCACACTCCTGTACATCTTTCTGAGTTTAATCTTAATTGGGTCCGAAATCTGATGTGGTAGCTCCAGACCACCCAGAACTAAACTGGGAAAGTTAAAAGTTTATAATCCCCCCCTCCAAAAAAAAAGTTATAATCCAGGTTAGTATCAGAATACAGTCAGGACAGCTTCTGAAATGTGCTCACAGGCAACTCAGCCTTGAGCCTTGCAGCTTTAGGTCAGTGTTACAAAGTTCTCAGTCCCACCAATATTGGCTCTCCTCCCCACAGTCTTGCAACAAACTTAGGGAAAAGGTTTTTAGCTCTAGTCCAGTGGTGTAACAGTCCCAAGGTCCACTCAGTCTCATGTCAGGTCTCTGGTTCTCCACTGTGGCTGCTGTGTCTGTGGCTCCCGTAGGCCCTAGTTTGGATGGTTGCAAGAGCCTCTCTCTGGTCCTGAAGAATGCACATTCTCTTGCTGCTGCTACTCTGCTCGCAGTAAGGTTTCTCCTGCTGCTGCTGGGTCTGCTCAATTTAATGGTGAGACTAGCTGATCCCTTGTGGATAGACTAACATGTCCTGTTTCCATATTTCTGCCCATTCACATGGTAAAATAAAATTCATTAGCTAGGAAAGCCATTTTGAATGTGAGGCCCTTAATATTACAACATCAAAGTGTGTAAATTTTAAAAACTATGATTTTTAGCTGTGTACTACTAATGTCTTCTTTTCCATATTTGTAACTCCTTTTTCTGAAGTGAGATATCTGGTTCTTGTTATCCTCAATATATTTATTTGAATTTTCCCCCTTTATAAGAGCAATGGTGTCTCTCTGGAGACTAAGGTGTGTCTGATACAAGCCATGGTCTTTGCAATCACTTGTTATGCATCAGAGAGTTGGACTGTGACTAGGGAGGATAGAAGGAGAATTGTTGCCTTTGAGCTTTGGTGCTGGAGGAGAGTAATGAGTGTACCATGGACTGCCAAGAAAACAAACAGATTAATCCTTCAGAGGGTTAAACCAGGCTGCTCCTTGGAGGCAAGGATTCTGAGGCTTCATCTGACATTCTTTGGACATGTTGTAAGGAGGCACCAGTTCTTGGAGGGGGACATCATTCTTGGGAGGGTGGAGGGACAGCACAGGAGGGGAAGGCCCTCTATGAGGTGGATTGATTCAGTGACTGGGATAATTGGGATGGGTGTGTTGGAGACAGTGTGATTGGCACAGGAAAGAGCAGAGTTTAGGGCTGTTGTACATAGGGTCCCTATGAGTCGCAAGCGACCCAACGGCCCATAACAACACAACAACAACAACAATAACAGACACAACAACAATAATGCATAAGAGTAGTTTTTAGTATTAACTTAATATTTTAAAAATTATTTTTATTAATATTTTTATTATTGATTTATATTAACATATACTACTTTGAAAATGAGCCTTTTGCTTAGTTTCTTTTTCTTAATATACTAGTTTATTTACAAAATTCAAATATACTGTTTTCCAGACCAAACCCTTTCAATTTCCACCTCCTATCAATTTGTACAACCCCATGATTAATCCTCCCATCCCCCTGCACATCCTCATTCCTCTGATTCCACCCTCTCCCCGCTCTTGGATCCATATACTCATTCTACAATAATAGTTCTGTCCTTGTGGGACTATCAGTTCACTCAACATGCTCTTGGATCCTTATACTCATTCTACAATAATAGTTCTGTCCTTGTAGGACTATCAGTTTACTCAACATAATGCTCTTCAGTCCCTCCCAAGTTAGGTAGTAATTTACAAAATCATGTAATTTACAAAAAAAACATGCTCCTGCATGTTGCATAGTATTCCATTGTGAGTACCATAATTTATCAGTCCACTTGATTGTGGTTGGACTTGTGGGCTGTTTCCATGTTCTTGCTATGGTGAATAGTGCAGCTATTAACATTGGTGTACAAGTCTCCATTTGTGCCTCAGTTCTCATTTTCTTGGGGTATATTCCAAGCAGTAGAATAGCTGGGTTACAAGGAATTTCTATGTTCAGATTTTTGAGTAAGCTCCAAACTGCCTTTCAGAATGATTGTACCATATAAGTTCCCACCAATAATGTGTAAGAGTTACTATCTCGCCACATTCTCTCCAACATTTATTACTTGCTGTCTGATTGAACTTTCCCACTGTTACTGGAGTGAGATGGTATCTCATTGTGGTTTTGATTTGCATCTCTCTTTTTGCTAGTGATTTTGAGCATTTCTTTATGTGTCTGTTTGCCATACAGATTTCTTCTGTGAAGATTTTTTTACTGTCTTTTGCCCATTTTGTAATTGGGTTATCAGTCTTTTTCTTGTGGAGGCCCAGGAGTAATCTGTAAACTTCTGTTATGAGACTCTTGTCTGAGATGGTATTATCAAATGTTTGTTTCCAGTCGGTAGGTTTTTTTTTTTCACTCTGTTGGAAAATGTTTTGACATGCAGAGGGATTTAATCTTAACTAGGTCCCATTCATCAATTTTATCCTCTTCAGATTGTGCATTTCTGGCTGTATTTGGCAGTCTCTTTATACTGTGGACTAGGGCTTCTAAGCTTGATCCAAGTTTGTCTCTTGCGAACTTTATAATTTTGGGCTTTGCTCCCAGGTCTCTGATCTACCTTGAGTTGATTTTTGTGTGTATGTGAGATGTGGATCCTGTTTTAGCTTTCTGCAGGTAGAAGTCCAGTTTTGCCAACACCATTTGTTGAAGAGTTTGTCATTTTCTGCATTTGATAGCTGTGATTTCCTTGTCAAATATCAGTGATTCTCAATCCTGACTCATTGGTCTGTGTGCCTGTCATTGTGCCAGTACCATGCTGTTTTGGTTACTACTGCTGTGTAGTAGGTTTGCCTCTCACCTTATTTTTGTTTCTCAAAAGTGTTTTGCTTATTTGGAGTCTTTTTGCCTCTCCAAATTAGTTTGACAATTTCCCTTTGATCTTCTTAAAAAATGAATTTGGTATCTGGATTGGGATTGAACATGTAGATTGCTTTTGGTTGGATTGTTACTTTCACAATATTGAGCCTTCTTATCCATAAACAGCACATTTTCTCATTTCTTTAGGTCTTTTATTGTGTCTTACAGAAATGCTCTGTAGTTTTTTTTGTAGAGGTTTTTTGTATCTCTAGTTAGGTTCACTTCCAAGAATCTTAATTTGTGGTTGGCTATTGTAAATGGTTTGTTGCTTTCTTGATTTCCTTCGCTGAGTTCTCTTTCTTACTGTAGAGGAATGCTACTCATTTTTGGATATTGATCTTATATCCTGCCACTCTACTAAATTGTTCTACTAATTCTAACAATTTTTTTGTTGTGTCTTCTGGATTTTCTGTCTATTCTATTGTATCATCTGCATATAGTGAGAATTTGACAATCTCTTTGCCCATCTGGATGACTTTTATTTCCTTCTCTTGTTGTATTGCCCTAGCAAGCACTTCCAGTACAATATTGAATCAAAGTGTTGACAGTGGGCATCCTTGCCTGCTCTCTGTTTGCAAGGAAAATGCTTTTAGTCTTTCTTCTTTGAGAATGATGTTAGTCCTTGGTTTTGCATATTTATTGAATATTGTGTTCAAATTATTTTCAGAGTGATTATGTTGTGATTGAAGTACAGTTAGGTTAAATTTTCTTGTTGGGACTCTTTTTGGGATTTATCTCTTCCTCTTTTTGATTGTGTTGTCACTGGAAGCTGTGTGGAGAGAGAATTAGGTAGTCATTATCTTCAGCTATCAACTCAATGTTTTAGCAGTTGATTTTATTTATAAAACTTTATTTCACCAAAAAATTTGCATACATTTTTGGCACTTGATTCCTTGTACTATTTAAAAATATTGATTTTATTTTTCCTTGCTTTCAGTACAATTTTTTTATTCTTACCATTTCTGACTAGAATATTTTTTATAGATTTGTTTAATTTTCTCACATGTACACTTTCTAGTACATGATTTTGAGGATTAAATTTTTTCTTTGTGTGTGAAAGGATACCAAAGCAGTTGTTAAGTTCCTTTGCTTAGAAAGGTTTTCTTTATATTCTCTTAAAAATTTGAGACTTGGGTTCCTGGGTAGAAAGGTAGCTGGGGTCTTCCATATATTGTCTGTCTGTATGAGGTATGGAAATCACCAAAGGCTTAGAAGAATTTTAAATTATATAAAACATCTTATAAAATTTTTGTCTGAACTTTCTCTATGTGGGATACATTGCCATTTAAATTACACTGAGAGATAGCATCTTCACTTTGGAAATAATCCGCCATGGGATAATGATAACTTGTCTGAATGTTATTATGTCTTTTGATAAGGTCATTATCATAACTATAATTATGGTTTTCAATCATATTCTGTCATAATTATTCATTACTTAATTAGATGGTAGTCTGTTCTTCAAGAAGATAGCCATAAGAATGAAATTTTTATTTAAGCGTGAAAATTATTGTTTATATGTTTGATTGAGCTTTTAGCAAATAGTACTGTTTAGCTGGTTATGCTCTCATAATGAGTCAGAAAGTTTTTTCAGCTAGTGATATGAAGAGAAAATTTAAGCTAGAGATGATGCTTGCATGATTTTAAGGAAGCATGTATTCTTTTTCAAATCTCATATGCATCTTCTCGTGTGATATGCCTAGTGCCTAAGAGTTGCATTAGATGCCAGCTCAAAGGTAGCCAGTTTGAATCTATCACCTGCTTCACAGTAGAAAGATGCACAGTCTCTTCCCAAGTGATTTACAGCTTCTGAAAAACCACTGGGAGGTCAGCTATAAATTGATTCTGACTCAGTGGCATTGAATGAGTGAGTGTGGTATGCTGTTTTTGTTGTATTTATCTGTTTCTTATTTTTTCAATCATGATATGCTAGGAGTATCCTTGTACATTTGATGTTTTCTAATCCCTTCTCTCTCTTGCCTGCACCTAAGTAGTTTGAAGTGCTTCTTGCCTGTCCTGCTAGCCAGAGTTCATTTGTGATGTTTCTGTCCCTCCTTACTTTTTTTCCTGTGAAATCAGTAAGCTCACTTTCTGTCAGCACATCAGCACTGGGAACGACAGATCAGAGATGCAGACTGAGGCCTAAAGCTTGCAGAACTGGATTTGCTGTTCTCTCTCAACTGATTTAAAAGAAACAGAATAATTAGATAGATTTATTTTTAAGATACCTACTTCTTTCATCTCATAGTAGTAGCAACAGAAAAATCATACACATTGGGGAGGGGAGAAAGGCTCACATCGACTTCAGTGGGAATTAAAATGAAAAGTTGAGAAGCAATACAAAATTGTTAAATTTGTTAGTGTAATTTATTCTGAGATAACTTATTTTTCTTTTCATTTTAGGAAAATCACCAGCGTGTTAGCATTTTCTTTGACTATGCAAAACGTAGCAAGAATACTGCCTGGTCCTACTTTCTGCCAATGCTGAATCGCCAGGATCTCTTTACGGTTCATATGGTAAATGTTGAATTGATTTTATTCTAATTTAGGGAAGGAAAACCTGAGACATTTATTATGATTTGGTAATATCTCAGAGAATAACAGCTGTCATTGTGATTTTTAGAAACAGTGTTTCCTTCTTGATGTTCAGAAATGTATTGATAATATAGGATTGTTCTGATACAGTAAATGCTTTACAGACCAGATAATGAATTAATTAGCATAAAAAGCCTTTGGTAAATTCACACATGCAGAAAGTTCTAAATTGTTTATGACAGGATTAACCACCACATAGAAGCTATAATTTACTTTGAAACATCTATTGTATTTAATGAATAACTTTAATAATAGCTTAAGTGTATTGTTATTTTAAATTTAGCCAGAAGGACTGCCTTTGGAAACGCTAACATTGAAAAATCTTTTGAACTTGAAGACTGAGAAGAGGGTTGGGTGAATTAACTTCGTAGAAATATTTTTCTTTTTCCAGTCAAAAGTAGCCTACATGGTAGGAACTTTTAAGGCCACTCACTTCAGTAGATGTCTTTCAGTGTTTTGTTTTACATCAAGAACTTCTGCTGGTGAGACATTTTTGACTATGTGTCTGCTTGTGTTCTCCATCTTTCTCTTGCTGTATGTGTTTATGTGCTAGTGTGTTCACATTATAAAACATTTACAAAGAGAGGAAGAAAACAAGAGAATTTAAAAAGTAACTATTTTAAAGAAGAATTTTTCAAAATCAGTGATACCTTTTGTTCTTTTGAATTATGAAGGCTTACTTTCACTTTCTTGATGTGTAGTTTTAAATGTATTGTTGGTTTTTGTGAATCCTGATCATGTAGTGGTTAAGGCACTTGTTGCTGACTGAAAGGTTGATAGTTTAAACCTACTGGATATTCCATAGGAGAAAGTTGTGGTGGTATCTTCTTACACAGATTATAGCTATGGAAACCCGGTGAAGTAGTTTTGCTTTTATATACAGTTTTGTGACTCAGAAACAACTTGGCAGCACTAGGTTTGGATATCTTAGAATTTTTTTTTAAATTTTTTTTTTTAAATTGTCTAAAGAACAGGACATGGGGGCGCAGGGCCATGAGTGTCTTTCTAAAAGGGCCAGTGAGTGAGAATAGCTCAGCCCCTCTCTGCCCCAGAGCAGAAAGCAGATAAAGAGCCTGTAGCCCAGCTCCATGGTGCCTCTAGAGTCACAGCAGCAGCAAGAGGTTAGTGTATTTGATGTAGACTCAATTGTTATGGTAATGAGAATGGAGTTTATTAGGGAAATAAGTTGGAGAATGGAGGAGGCAAAGAATATCATCCAATACAATTCCAGAATTTAGCCTAGAAGTCTTAAGGCACAGTTCCTCAATTAGTCCAGGCTCCAGTTTCAGTTCAGCAACACAAATTCAATAAGCCTCTGGTTTCCTCAGTCATTCATCAAGGTTTGCCTCAGAGCAGTTATAAGTCATCTTCTCCTTGAGGCATCTGACAAGAACAGCAAAATCTTTAAGTGTGGCCTTTATATCAGGGATCCTCTGCTTATACTTTACCAGTTTCTCCACAGCAATGCCACAATCTCTCCACCACCATCACCTTGCCGTCAAGTCTTGCTGCCCAGTGTGGGAAACACTCTCTCATATCCTTGTCCCACAGCGTTTGATGATTTGCAAGACCCTGTGTCTGCAGTTGAGGTAGCTGCAGACTAGAGGTGGCTAAGGTAATGGCTAAAAACGCCAACTTTAGGCTGACACTGTGGTGATACATATATATGTATTAGTATGTTCACATTGTATAGATCAGATATTTAATACACTGTTGTTGTTGATTACCATAGAGTTGAGCATGACTCATAGTGATCGTATGAACAAAAGACCTGAAGCCTTTCTATAACTATCATCATTTCTCAAATGTATATGAAAATACTTATATTTCAGAATATTTATAAATGTTGTTGTTAGGTGCCATCAAGTCTAGAATGACCCATAGCAAGCCTATGAATAACACACCTGAACCTTGTGTTGTCCTGTGCCATCCTCACACTTCCTGACAAATTAAAGCCCATTGTAGTAGTCACTGTGTCAGTTCACTTTGTTAAGGGTCTTCCTCTCCTTTGTTGACCCTCTATCTTTCTGAACATCATGTCTCTCTCTAAGGAATAGCCCCTCTCGTGGTGAGCAGGTTTTAGTAGAGCTCACAGATTAAGACAGACTAGGATTATTGGCCATCAATTTCCTAAATAACAGGCTTCTGAAAACCTTATGAACAGTAGAGGAACATCGGTCGTTATAGTAGTAGAGATAGAACCCAGATTAGAAGTCAACTGAAGTGAGGAAAAAAAAATTTATGGATGATTCAGTGACATTAATTATATTCATGTTTTGCATTCATTATCATTATCTTTTCCCAGAGGTTTTTGTCACACTTAACAGAAAACCATCCTCCAAGCAATGATTTTACCTTTCTGCCTCATAATTATTATTCTACCAAATCCGTGCCTTATTTTCTTGATAATTTCAATTATTTTTGACTGATCTTTCAAATTTATTAGGTCAAATTGGTTTGCCCTATAATATGCTCATGAAGAATTTATGCAAGTAGGAATAACAGATTTCCTGACTTTTTATTTTTACTTGCATTTTTATTGTAGATACAATTTCAGTTCTTGTAATTTTTGAGTCACTAGTTTATGAAGTGAAATAAGGTCAGCTAAACAAGATAGTGAATTCTGTCAATTCATTAGCTGAGCCCATTAAAACATCAGTGTGTCACAAATTAGGGAGTGAGTACAGGTGTCCCTGTTGCCCCTCTACATTGTAAAGTCCAGGTAGATGCTAGTATTCCATTGTTATCCACACTCACCTCAAGCATGTGTCTCTGTCCAGGTGGAATAGTAGGTTAAGTATAGGACTGGTAACGGAAAGATCAGCAGTTTGAACCCACTTACTGCTCTAGGGGAGAGAGAGTAATCCTCTTTCCGTTAAATTTACCTCAGAAACTTGTTGGAGGGTCTCAAGTTGAATCAAAATCATCTTGATGGCAGTGGGTGGGTTCTGTCAGCCTGACTAAGCTTTTTATTCAAATACCAGAACAAACACTAGTTAACTGCCACAGCCTTCTGCTGTATTGTGATTTATTACTTCTGAGATGTTAGAAGCTTTAGGATAGTAACTTTCTTTATAACTTGCAGTTTATGTGTGAGTTAGTATTTATACTGTTATTTATTAAGAAAAACCAAAACACAACCACCCAATAATGACTAGTTTTATATGCTGGGAAATGCTGAGGAGAAAAGATAATTGTTTATTAAAAGAGAAATGCCAACCTGAGACCAAAGTATTAAGCAGAGGTAGAGATGAGTACTCAAGAGACTTAGAAGGAGTGAGGTTATGGTTATGAATCGATTGCAGAGATTTCATAGAACCCTGGATGTGTCCACCAGTCTGTACTAGAAAGTTTGGAAGACAGCTACCTGGCCAGTTGATTGGATGAGATTGATACTTGTTCTCATTTCCCCAAAACTTATCGAGAATGTAGATATGATCGAACATGAACAGTGGTCAGATCTTTCGTTCTTAGGGTTGCTATGAGTGGTCTATGACTCAGTGGCACTTAACAACACAACAGCAACATCACTGATATCACATGAAAGCAAAATCTTATTGACGATTATGAAAAAAATGGCTGGAACAGTACATTTATAGGAAATTGCCAGTAATTCAAGCCAAATTCAAACGGAGTGTGGCATGAGGTCTATCATTACTGTTGGCTGAAAGGTGAGAGCACCGGGAAGATGTTTACTTGTGTTTTATTGATTATGCAAATGCATTTGACTATGTGGATTGTAACAAATTAATAACTGACAGTGAGAAAAATGGGAACACCTTAGAACATTTAATTATTGTCATGTGAGATCTATACATAGACCAAGAAGCAGTAACACTGCATAGGTTAAAGTCATGAAAAATGTTTGTCAGAGTTGTGTGCGTCTTTTCTCCATACTAATTCAGTCTGTATGCTGAGCAAATAATTCCACAAGCTGGACTTTGTGAAGAAATACGGCATCAGGATTGGTGGAAGACTCAACAACATGCATTATGCAGATAACACAATCTTGTTAGCAGAAAGTAAAGAAGACTTGAAGTGCTTATAGCAGAAGATCAAAGACTACAGCCTTCAATGTGGATTACATTTCAATATCAAGAAAGCAAGCATACTCACCACTGGATCAGTAGGTAGAATTAAGATAGATGGAATAAAGATTTAAGTTGTCATTGGTTTAATATTACTTAGATCCACAATCAGCATCGGTAACAACAGCAGTCAGGTAATCAAAAGATGCGTATCATTGGGAAATCTGCTATAAAGGATGTCTCTCAAGAACAAGATGTCAATTTAAAGACCAAGGTGCACATGTTCCAGGCCATAGTACTTTCATTTGCTTCCTATGCATTTGAAAATTGGACAGTGAATAAGGAAGACTGAAGAAGAATCCATCCATGCCTTTGAATTACGGAGTTGGTGAACAGTATTAAAAATTCCATGGATTGTGAAAAGAACAAACAGATCTGACTTTAAGGAAGTGTGCTTCTTAGGGGTAAGGGTGCTGGAATTTCTTTCCTCTTATTTTGTGCATATCCTTGGAGAGAGACATCACACTGGGAAAGGGAATGAAAGAGAAGACTATCAACAGGATACATTGGTGACCATAATGGTCTTGTGCATGACAAAGATTTGAGTTGATGCACGATAAGATGTGGTTGATATCTCTTGTTCATGCGACAGCTCTGAGTTGTGGTTAGCTTATTGGCACCTAAAAATAAAAATGACATTGACCTTTATTATAGCTTACTCCTCACCACAGAAAAAACAGAAATCCTCACCACTTGACCAAAAAGTCATATGATGATAAATGGACCAAAAAAAAAAAAAAAAAAGGGAAATAATCAATAAAGAATTCTCTTACTTGGACTCACAATAAATACTCATGAAAGCAGTAGTGAAGAAATAAAATTCTGTATTGCATTGGGCAGGTTTTCTGCAAAAGACCTCTTAAAAGTGTTAGAAAGGAAAGGTATCACTTTGAGGGTTAAGGTGAGCCTGATCCAAGTCATGGTATTTTAGTTGCCTCATGGAAAGCTGGACAATGAGTAAAGAGGACTGAGGGAGAAGTGATGCCTTTGAAATGTGATGTTGACAAAGAATAGGAAATATATCATGGCTTGCTAGGAGAACAAACCAGTATGTCTTAGAAGTACATCCAGAGTGCTGTTTTAAAGAATGAAATGGGGTAAGTTTATTTTGTGTGTTTTAGATATGCTATGAAGTCATTTTCTGATGAGGACATTATACTTATTAAATTAGAGATGATGAAAGGGAAGACCCTCTAGGTGGTGCGTTGACACAGTGGCAGCAATACAGGTTCAATCAGTACTGCTTGTAAGCATGGCCTAGGTCTTGTCAGCATTTCCTTCTGTTTTGGTAGTTTCTGTAAGTTGGAATTCACTTGATGATGGCTCACAGTAACAACATGTATATATATTTCAAATGTATTCTTCAAATGGAAAAAATTATTTCTTTTGGAGCAATCAAAAGTACTAAAAATTATGTAGCAAAATGATTCTGAGTCTTGTTTTTTTGAAGCATGTTATATGATGTTTGAATCTCCAAGTGAATTTTCTCTTTGTTTTTAGGCAGCAAGAATTATTGCCAAATTAGCAGCATGGGGAAAAGAACTGATGGAAGGAAGTGACTTAAATTACTATTTCAACTGGATAAAAACACAGCTGAGTTCACAGGTAAAAGAAAAGGGTTTTTTTAGTGTCTTTAAAAGGAATATAACATCCATGTTCTTGTATGCTCTTTATAGTAAATATGTTACCTTTTAAAAACTTAAACTTATGTCATTTTGACCTCGATAAACTAAGCTTCTTTTAAATGTGGTGATGTGCTTTTTTCTTCATGTTGACTGGATTCACTTCAAACTGCACTGTCTTTTCTACCCTGAGGGACTTCTCATCTGGCTCTCTGTTGGGTGGGGAGTGTCTTCCTTCTAGGTGGCTGTCATACTTTCACAGATTGGATCAATGAAAAGGACTCAAACCTGCAACGCACACACTACCGTAAGGCTTTTAATGAATCAAAAAAACTGCCAGGGAAAATTACACAGGCATGATTGGGATGAGAAAATTCCAGCCATGGCTCCCTGTGCCAGCCTCAGGATCATGGAAAACCAGGATTGGTGTGAGAAATTTTGATTATGGAAGAGCTTTTAGAGGTTTCTAGTAAGATCAGTTATCCTTTGTGGTCATATAACCAGGCCAGGTTGTTTATCCAGTTAGACCAGTGAACTTTGTGGCTCGGAGTGTCATCAGGGGAGTTTGAGTACTCTGCTGCTCTAGAGTCAGTTAGTTCACTTGTCGTGGTCAAGAACAGTTCTAGACTTACACAGAGCTGCCCAGTCCAGTGTAAAATAACTGTTCCTCCTAGGGATAAATACTCAGTGACTTGACAGTAGCATTTTGAGATTAACCACTTAAGAGATGGAAGGGAAAAGAAAATAAGCTTATTGGTCTTTGATGCTTTAGGGCCCCTAAAGCTCTACTGAGTTTAGATCTTTTGTTCATAGGGTCGCTATGAGTTGTGCTTGACTCACTGGCACTTAACAAAAACAAGAGCTTATAATCCAGGTTAGTATACAGTCAGTCAGAACAGCTTCCAAAATGTGCTTGGAGGCACCTCAGGCATAAGCCTCATTTCTCTAGGCCAGTGTTACAAAGTTCTCTGTTCTGCCAACAATTATGGCTCTATACATTCCCCGCCCCCCCCCCCCCCCCCCCCCCCCCCCAGTCCTCCAGTTGTTCAACAAATTTGAGCAAAAGCTCTTAGCTCTATTTCTGTGGAGGGTAGCAGTGTCAAGGTCAGCTGCATCCCATGTTGAGTCTGTGGTCCTTTGCTTCAGCTGCTATGGCTGTTGCTCTGGTCCTAAGCCACAAATTGTATTCTCTTGATTGCTCTTCTCTGGTGGTGAGATTCCTCTCATTCTGCTACTGGGTCCACTCAATTTAATGGCGAGCTAGTCAATCTCTTTGCTGCTAGGCTAACATGTCCTATTCATATATTCCCTCCCATTCACATGGCAAAGTAAAAGTCAATGACAAGGAAAGCCATTTTGAACAATAAACTCCACAATGACAGAAAAAGAATCTATGCCTTTGAGTTGTGATGCTGGAGAAGAGCTTGGTTATTTTTTAATGAATGTTAAAATGGCAACTTTTTTGTGTTTGTCCTCATTCTTCTCTAGACTGAGACAGAAGAGAGTACACTTCTTGAAAATGTAGTTGTGTCTCTTATTTCTTGTTTAGTATCTCGAGTTTTATGGGAGACCTGGTAGAAATCAACCTCAGGAAAGGAGTTGGGTAAGGATGGTGGAGAGGAGCATTCTGGGTAAGGTTGAGATTTTGATGTGGATATGGGGGCACTGGGTGTGATGGAGGCAGAAGGTCAAGAGAAAGAATGTTGGTAGTCATTGTGTTGTTAGCCTTAGAATATAGAAATTTTTATATGAAATAACAGTTTTGCAAAGTTGTAATTTATATTTTGTTGTTGTTGCATTCCATTAAGTCAGAAATAACTCATAGCTGACCCTCCAGTGGGTTTTCGGAGTTTGTAAATCACATAGGAGGAGATTGCCCTTCTTTCATCCATGGAACATACAGTAGATTCAAATTGTGTGCCTTTGGGTTGGCAATACAACTCCTTACCACTGTGCCACAAGAAAGCCCTAATTTAGATTTTAGGTGGCTTTATTATTTCAGAAGATTTTAATTTCAGGCATTAGGGAGACACCATGGCAGTTTGCTTTCTTAGTTTTATTTTAGTTTTAGTCATTGACCTCCTTTTAAATTTTTTTAGCAGGATTTTTGGTGGTGTTGAGTTTGGCTTATTGCTTTTTATTTCTTTTGGGATAGAAGATTTAGAGAGTCTTGAACAAAATTCAAAACTCATTGCCGTTGAGTCAGAACCAACTGAGCTGATCCTCCAGCAGGTTTTTGGAAACTAAATCACAAAGGAAGAGATTGCCCATCTTGATCCTGCAGAGAAGCTGGTGGATTCAAACCTCCTAGCTTTTGGTGGGCAGTAAAACTCTTTATTCACTAGACCACTTGAGCTTTGAACAAAATTAGATACATGTTTTTTCATGTCTGTAACATTTGCTTTTATACACTTTTTTTGCCTTTTAAAAAATTATTTTAAAAAGAGTTACATGTTGGTAGATTTTATTGAACTTATAAAGAATTTAAAAAACAAATTTAGAACATGGAAAATAGGTGGGTGAAATGAACTTTTAAAGTTTGTATATTGTTGGAAATAAAATGCCCAAATGGGTGTTCCTCCTTCCCTTCCTTCTTACCCCCTCCTTTTTTTGCTGTTTTGAAATTTATTTTACCTTTAAACAAACTACATTTGGCTTTAATGTTAACATTTTGGTATGTTGGTAGTGAGGCTCTTTTGCAGCTGAATCCATAAAATGAGAATTAGTAGGAAAAAAGATAACAGTATTTTGACATTATCCTATAGAGTGGCCTAACTAAATTTTTCCTCATAGGAATAGCATTTATATTGTGCCTCAAAGATAATTTGGCACTCTCCGAATGAATACTGTTAACCATGAATACATGTTTAACATGACTGCATGTTTGTAATTTACTGATTAAGATACCTGGAAAAATGTGATGATATTTAGAACATTTAACATCATTCTCATGATGTTTATTTATTATTTGATGATAAGCTCTATTAAATAGAATTAGAAAAAAAAGAAATCATTTTAGCACCCTTTCCTAACCTAATTAATTAGGATGTTTTAACATGTTCTAGTAATGAATTCATGTTAACTATGCCCCACAGTTAAAGAAAATATGTTTAATGCCATTCTTGAAAGCTAATTATCTGTGTCTAGATAATTTTACTTCTTAGTCTTAGATAATTACTCTTGAAGATGCTTTCTCTGTATTTCTCATCTCTTCTTTGATTGCTACATCTTTGCCTGTGTGAGTTTGATGTAGTATTTCTGCTTTGCCACGTCTACTACCGGGTGGCTTGTCTGGCAGTTCTGGCTTTGCATTCACAGAACCTGGCTATTGCTTCTGCTTGCTCTAGATAGCACTGCCTCTTCTAGAGCATTTCACTAGGATTAGTAAATGCAGACTTCTTATTTAAACAGAATCAAGATAAAATTACTTGGATTTACTGCTTTGCTCAAATATTCCATGGTAGTGCTGTGCTTGGAAGTTCCCTTTTTCTCTAATACATGTATTCCCCACCCACCCCACAAAAGGACCATAATTTAAGGTTTCTAATAGAAATAAATTTCTGAAAGTACAAGTTAGCTTAAAGTTTGACTGTTATGTTTTATAAATTTTTAGTGACATTTAAGAAGACATTTTGGTAGTTTAGAGGATTTGTGTGTTAAGAAGGCCAGTGGCTGTTACCCAACAGAGAATCCTTATTGAATAAAACAAATAACAATTTTCTGTGAGAAATTACCACTTTCTTCTTACACTTTTAACCTCTGAGTGAGTTTTTACCTTAGTTTTGCTTGATAATTTCTGTCTAATGTTTAAAATTTTTGATTGTCATTGTAACTTGAGTAGCTTAATTTGAATCCTATAGAATATCTTCCCATCTCTGAGTATTTATTTCAAAAGTTTTACCCCAGGATATAGCTGTATAGATCACTAAATATAGATCAGCATAAAATATTAGTCTTGTAAAAAAAAATTAAGTAAGCAAATCCTGACACTTGGCACTTTGCACCCACTCCACTTATGAAATCTAGATGGAGCTATATTTAGTTCTAATATTTAATTTTTAGTAATTTACTGGTTAAGATATTACCTGGAAGAATATGATATTTAAAACATTTAACATCATCTTCATGATGTTTATTAATTGATGATAAATTGTATTAGGTAGAGTTAGAAAAATATAAATTATCTTGGCTCCCTTTCCTAAACTGATAAATTAGATAGAATTAAAAACAAAACTAAGTAAAAGTTATTTATTTCATAATAGAAACTTCGTGGTAGCAGTGTCGCTGTTGAAACAGGAACAGTCTCTTCAAGTGATGTAAGTATATTCCCTCTTAACTCACTGGCCTAACACTCTGACTATAACTCACTTTAAACCATACACAACTAGAATTTTTAAAAATTTAAGTCCATGGATTTGATGTGTTGCCTCTTGTTAGGTTAATTATGTTGCAAAAGTGTCTATTTGTGATCTGTGATTTGTGATTTGTGATGATTTTTTTCTTTTATATTGGTAGATGTGAAAAATTACTCCTCCTTCTACCCCCCCCCCCCCCAAGAGGACTTTATCGCAGATCTGGGCATCAGAGCAAGAATCATAATTGAGCCATGCAACTGGAATTGATAATCTCAGTGTTAACTGTTTTCAGTTATAAACATCATAAAGTGTTTTGTGTTTAGTAGTAAGTCAGTCAAGTGGAAAACAGTGATACTGCTTGATAGTACCAACACTTGTTGCCTGCTCTGTGTTACTCAAGGCTTTATGTAGGGCTGAAGCTGCCCAGAACACTTTTTTGGGGCATTTGCTCCTGCATTTCTGTAGAGACAAAAGATTAATTTAAAGCCATTCATTCCCTTCCAAGTTACCTGGCCCATTGTTTAACTTTGCTGTGTGCTAGGGATGGTTGGAGCTTTTTGAGAGGATAGGAAAGAAATGGAAACTTAGATGAGGAACATCTAGCTTCCTTTGTTGGAATTACTCTGGGAAGAGTGAAGGACGTGGTGTTACTCCCTAAGTTAAAAGTTGAGATATTGAGTCATTCCAAAACCACAGAGTCAGACCTGACTCACTGTAAGGTTCTGAAATTGTAAATCTTGATGAGATTGCCCTGTGCACTGCGTGGTGTGGTTGAACTGCCTGCTTTTCCGTTAACAGCCTGATACATTAAGCACTATGCTATGTATCAGGTTTTTAAATTGGGAATGGTTATTTTATGTGACTTGAGTTTCTGCCAGTTTGTGTTTTAGAAGAATTTTCAGTTTGTGTAGTTTAGAATGAAAAAACTCTCAAGAAACCTTGTTGCCATCAAGTTGGAACTAACAGAGAGCTGACCCTCAGGCTGTGTATTGCACAGGAGATTGCCCAGCTTTCTCCTTTGGAGCAGCTTGTGGATTAGAACCACTTGCATTTTGAGTATTAGATATTAAGAAGATATTTATAAAAAGGATTTTTAGAATAAGAATAAATTTACAAACGTGGTTGAATTGCTATTAAAATATATGTAAATTAGTAAAGTTATTAAAACTTACATGGGAAGTTAAAGTTCTAATGGCAAGACATTTTATTTGGATTTTTTTCCTGTCAGTGTATTGGAAAAACAAATTGAGTAATTGAATTGGCAGTGCATGTAGTTCAAGTGATTAAATTTGTAGACATCCCAAATTTATGTACATCCTAAATGGAATTATCAATAAGCAAGAAAAAGATCATTTTTGATTTCCCACTGCTTTATTGTTAGTACATCTAAACCAGAACATATTTTGCTTTCTCTTCTTGAATATTCTTTCTTTTTCAGATTTTTGAAGAGCAGACTTCCGTAGGTTGAATTGGGGTGTTAGCCCTTCCTTTCATATTTATGTTTTAATAGGGGACTCTTAATCTGGAAGCCAATGTTTATTAAGCACTTACTGTGCTCTTGGTGTTGTTTTGTTCATTTTACATGTAAGTACTTCAGTACACACTCTTATACTTTGAGATTTGTCACATTGTATGGAAAAGCAAAGTGAGGCAATACTTACTATCTTGTTCAGAGTATTATAGCTAATGAGTGACAGAAACTGTGGCACATCCACACAATGGAATATTACATGACAATGAAAAACAATGAACTTGTAGAACACTATATAACCTGGGTGAGTCTGAAAGGCACTATGCTGAAAGAAATATCTTAGTCACAAAGGACAAATACTGAAGTAAGACCACTGTTATAAAATAAGATTTGACCCAGGGAAGGATGTGGGGAGAGCAGGAAAAGAATGGATAGGACAGATGAGGGGAAGGATTGCACTGTAACAGTTGAGGGGAAGGACTGAAAAGGATGTATGATTAAGCATAGTATTTATTACACTTAACACTCTGGAACAAGAGGTGCATTACAGAATGAATTAGGGTGGGGAAGGAAGGGGGAGGATAGGAAAATGTGCAACGTGAATGACTGAAAACCAAATTATTTTGTAAAATTTTGTTAAAATCGTAGTGGGAAAAATATAAAGACTGAGGTTCCTTTGATCCAAGCTATGATATTTTTTCAGTGCTTCCTTTAGAATTACTTTTGAAGCACTTGAACGTTAGTGGGATGCTTAGGCCTCGGAAAGTCACTTTATCCATCCTAGTATTTTTTTGCCGTTGAGTCAGTTTCATAAAAATCGCTTTTAAATTTTTCAGAGCAGAACAAAGCAATAAACTGCATTACTCCACTTTGCCACTTGATGTCAGTATAAAACAAACAATTTTATACTACAAAATGAGAAGAGGATTCAACCATCTTCCTTTTTTAAAAGTGGTTATAAAGTGGGTATTGTAATTTGATATTATTATAAAAGTGTTTATGAATAGTTGAATGAAAAACTATTCTGCTTTTTAAGTTTGACATAAATCATAATAAAAATTAAAAATGGCCATATTCATTGCTGTTGCGTTAGAATTGACTCATAGCTGATCTCCCAGCAAATTTTCCAAGACATTAAATTATGCGGAAGGCGATTGCCCCTGATTCTCCTAAAAAGCTACATGGATTAGCATCCAACTCTATGGGCTGTGCTACCACAGCTCCTTGAGATGGCCATGGAAGCATCACAGTAAGTTATGAATAGGTCATCACAAATAGCTGTATTTGAGTGATGTCATGTAAAGAGAATTTCTTTCTTTCTTTTTTTTTTTTAGGTTGTTTATTTTTCATTTCAGTGAACATCTACAGAGATTTTGGGATTCCATTCATTCATTGTTGCACCCTTCTCCCCACACAAAACCCTC